ACAAACAATATGTAGGATTATCAGGTTCAGAAAAGCCCCTAAACATATACCTTGGCTAGTTGCTTGCAGATGCTCAGCAGGTGCTGCTCTGCAGAAAGAAATGCATATTGAAAATTCCCGAACGCTGTGTCATTGTTAACCTGCCACCGTCCTCTAATGACATCAGCCTACTCCTAACCACAATGCAGGCTCACGAATGCCCATGCATACGTGAATTTAAGCTGAGAAACAGAGCAGCGCACTGCGCAGCGTGACCGACAATCGCGGGGACCAATCCATACACGTCTACAACCTGCGAGATGGAGGACACTCCAGAAGTGAGCCGCAGCGTACACGAAGTGCACCGTCTATGGGCTACCCTGCACGCCGAGTCAGGCGCTTCCAACACCAAAACTGCTACATAACAGCATAGCCTGCACAGGCGCATCCACTACTCGCGAAGCGATGTAACTCCGACATAAAGTACAGCATATCATGCACAAAAGCAGCCTGTGCGAAGCATGGTACAGAACTAATCTCTATCATGAAATGAACAAGCACCTAAGGCAAAGCCGTCCGCTGGGCTACGTCCTGATCCCAAGCGACGCACTAACTGCACGTCAACGCAAGTTCAACAGGGCCATCTTCGCTTATTTATGTTACATCCAACATCTGTTAGACTGCGATAAGCCAGGGCACACCTCACACAAATGCGCATTTTGCATCCCACATGCTACGTTGACAACCGCGAAGCGTCCACAGCTGTCCCGCACGTCTAACCATGTCAGGGTTACAAATATCGCGAATAGCAAAAAGCCTAACTCACTAAATCAAACGCTCAGGCTTCTGCCTTTGTGTATGCTTCAAGACAGCGCGAGACCGCTCTTGTGTGTACACCTACCTGCAGCTCAACGCGACCTCCACAGGACCGTGCCCACCGGTTTATAGTATGTCCAACGTCTACTCGAAGGCGCCAGACCAAGACGCACCTTACAACCAGCCAACGCGAGACGGCATTTGTTAACAACTGAATGGGACAGTGTTCTGCACACGCATTTAAAGTTTCGCAACACACACTGCACTGCGTGCCCGCACGTTTCGCCATACGAAGAAGGCTCACAAAGGTTTTAGCGGATGTTGCGGTGCTGAC